AAGAGTTTCCGTCATTTCTTCCAGAACCCCGGGAGCTTCATAAGGGTAGAAACGTGGCTGCGTATTCCGAGCTGGAGATGGTGGTCTTGGTGGAGCGAACACTTCCTCTACCCGCATTTGTGGCGTCGGATTTGGCATCCCAAGATCCTCGGGGTCCGGCCTCCATTTATTGTCTGCAACCTCGACCGTTACAAGACATGTAAGAGTCTGCTGCTGACGCGAGCGATTTATAGTGGGAAATTCTGACCGTACCATAACGGATGGTGCTGGAATCGGATTACGAGTAATGGCCCTCGGGCTACCTGGTGTCGTCTCCATAGCCTGCAAGTCGTAGTCGTGGCGGCGAGGAGGCGGTCCGCTCTGTGTGGTCTCCGGATAGCCCCCAGAAGACGCAACTCCCGTCGCTTCGCTGTCGCTACGCCCATGGCCTCGGCCGCCGGCATACCCATCCCGACCTTCTCGAATGTGGCTTCGCGTCACACTCTCACGACCATTGCTAGGCAAAGACCGCGCATTCGACTCACCGCTCGGCGGCCGCGGAGGTTGACCCTCCCATGCCCCGGGTGTCGGGGTAGTTACTGATCTATTGTCGCTTATAGACGTAGAGCGCACCATACTTGTGATTTTTTCTTGGTCATTGTTAGTGTTTCATGATAGCAATCAAAACATATCCATTTTCCTTACCGATATCTAAGACATTGCCCCCACGGCTAGTGTCTAAATGCAAAGGCGCATTGCATGAGGGGCAGTATTGAGAGTCGAACTCTTTGATAAACTCATAAAAGCAAGCCTCATGGGAGACATGAGAACAGGAAAACTGGAGAATTCTCTCCCCGCGCAATGTATGCTCCAGCGGCTCTTCGCAGACAGCGCATTCGCTACCAACAAAGGTCCTTTCTCGCCTGTTGCGGCCCCTATCCGTATTCATCATGCCCGACATTGTGGGATTTGGGCGTAATGTATCCCTAGAGGTTGCGGAATCTCGAGAGGCAGAGGAGCGATGGGATGATGCGCGATGAGGCGGCTGGCGATAAGGCGCCCCGAGTAGGTGACCTAAGGATGAATGCAGTTAGCAGGGCACAGCCTAGTCAAGACAAGACGGAGATGCCGACCGGGATATCTTAAAAGGCTGAGGTATCCGGTAGCGAGCAATGATAACCAAGGGCAATAAGAGCGCAATACCTACTCTTTTCCGAATAGGATGGGCCGCTGTTGGTGCTGCTCCAATCCTCCTGTTTCCTGCGCAAAGAGCGGAGCGAGCGTGAGTCGGCGGGGTTAAACAGGTTGAGATCCCGCAAGGCCGAAACCTGACCCTCAAGAAACCGGTGCTCCTTAGACGATGATCGACTACTAAACATGTGGCGATAGTGGCTGGCAAGGTAGGACGTGTATTGCTAGTAAGAAAGAAGAAGCAGGATGGATGAATGGATGGATGTGGTATCAGAATACGTGGGTCGCTCCCGCAGGTGGGTATAGAGATATAGGGATGCGTGGTTGGGTACCGTCACACCTCGTCGGGTGCCCCCTGAGAGACTGTTTCAAAGGGTGGGATCCTCAATGCTGTAACAGAGAGACTGGTGAGGGACGATGGCGCACTGCCCGGAAACAAGGCTGTCACAAGACAGTTGTGGAGGGGAAAGGTGTGACTTCGAAGTGAGGGATGTGTCTATGTGTGTGTTTGTGTGGTGGCCAAGTCGAGACACCGTGTTTTAGCGACGATGAGCTTGTGTCCTTGGTAGCACTTCGACGTAGGTAATCAATCAATCAGGTTAAGCAAGGAGTGGTGGCGACTGATGATGAATCGCATAAGCAATTGAGTGAGCGGGCTTTGCTCAAGGTACCGGTGCAGGCACTTACGCCGTACGCGCGCGCAAATAAGAAGAAAAGGCCCAGATTCCCTACGCTATGGCTCGGGTCGTGCTAGGCTGTTGACGTTATATCTAGTCGGGAAAGGGAATAAAGACGTTTTAACCCGGGATGACTTTAGGTCGGACGACTCCAGAAAAGGGAGAGGCCGTCTTCTCAACGGTTCTTCGGCTGCTGGCGCAATTTGCCCTTGGTCTTTGTTCGTCTGACCCCAGTCAGCGGCGGAATACCCTGTAAGTTGAAGTGTACCAGGGTCCCAGACAGCGCCGCTCTGTCTTCCCTGTCCTACTTAGGTGGGATTTGCAATGGCCTGTTAAGCCCGTCAGGATGTGAATCGGCGTATAGTGTAGAGTGATCTGGCAATATTAGGGCCCAGCACGATTCTGCAACGCATTTGAGCAAAAAGCCAGCAAGAGAGTGTGGCGGCTCGAGGGCACAAGGAGACAAAGACAATAGCAAGAAAATTCGAAAACATAGACAACCAAAGCATACAATCAATCAATTGAATTGTCGGTAATTTAGGTCCATGTCTATGTAGGAGGTAGAAAGAAGGTTTAATCTGGTGTTAGAATCTACGCTATACAATTGAGGGATCGCAAGCTAAATGAAATGTGAGGGCTGGTCTTCGCCAGCATGTACTTCCTAGGTATGTATACCTAAACCACGTTAGATACCTACTAGTATTTATTCGCTTAGACATTTCCTATAACTACCTAAGGTGGTTAGGTCCCCGATATATAGTACTGTACCTAAGATAGTTAATCTCTGCCATATTTTGTTTAGGTATTAGCACACTACATACACCCTTTCTAAGTACATGATATTGGTACTAGAATGCTCTTGACCTTCCTAAGTCCGTACCTGATAATAGTGTGGTTTCATTGTTTTGGAGTTGGCTATGATCATTAGAGGTCTGGCTGCTTACTCATGATCTTTCACACCGGAACCTGTTGACTAGATATTTCAGTTGTACCTCTTAAGTACTTAAGTAGGTATGTATTTACAATACTAGATTACCACTACTATGTATGTAGATATGTAGATATGTAGGTAGTAAGTAGTATGTACCTATAGTATGTACACTACCTACCCAGGTAGGAGGCATGTCCAAAGGTACCCAAGTGACCAACGCTAATGTAAGTATTTATTAGACTTGGTAGGTACTGTGCAGGGTATATCCTAGCCCCTGTGGGTCTACTAGTACTGCCAAGTATTTGTACAAGGTAGTGTACCTACAGTAGGTAGTACTAGTATATACGTAGTAGAAACCTGTTTTAATCACAAATGTCAAGGCTGTCCCCTCTATAGGCAACATTCCCAGATTCTTCTCTAGGTACCCTTACATATACATGCTACCCATGTTGTACAACATATCAAGTATAAGTATGAGTCAATAATGAGATAGTACCCCTTCCTGCCGGTTTAGCAGTGTGTCATACTACTACTATACTAGTAGTACCAGTCACTGTGCTCTTCTTCTACACTATCTATCTGCAGGTAGGTACCTATACTCCCTAGCTTGGGTAGAATGTTGCCTACCTTGGTACTTCGTAAGCCTGTATCCTTCTACTAGCAGTCACAAGTCGGTCATGAGCGTAACCTGAGACTTACTATAGTGTAGTTTTATTTGCTTGACGACAGAGAGGGGTTACATAGCTGCTAAAGACCATCCCTCTTCGCATACCCTTGCTAACTAACCACGGCACAGACCCCTCAAAAATGGGTCAGAATAAGGGAGACGTGCTTTGAGCAAGGGGAGGCAGATTAAGTACACTACTTACTATGTAGTTATCTCTAGTATACTCAGCATACCACTGGATGTAACTAACCAGCCCAGAGCTTACCCAGCAAGATGAAGCAAACTCAGCATTACAAGTAGGCCGGGACGTTAGATGTAGTTAGTTTTGACAACAAGCAGTGTGCAGTGATCTTAGATATCTGATAGGTATCTACTACTCCATAACTACATAAGCAGGAAATGCTCGAGAAGTCGGTAGTCGTCGGGTCGGGTCGGGTCGATAAGCAAGCCCCAAGGCTACAGCCCCACACCGGTTGTTAGATATCATTATTTGTATGTGCAATCGATCAAGACAAGGGCCATGCAAAGACTGCGCAGAGCAAAAGCCAGCATGACTCCAAGAGAATGAGAATGGCCTATGTACACAAATGCATTGTAAGTAGATCAACAATGAAAACATGCATATTAGTGGCATGTCCTTTACATACCAGTAGTAGATAGTTACTGTGCTTTTTTCAGTTACTGGCGCGTGTTAATAATGATAGGTAATTACATTTATTTCATTTCCCCTTAAGCGAGCTTCTTTTCAAAGAGGGCGATTCGACCATTAAGGGCCTAATCCCTCAACCCATGGGAACCAGCGTTCAGCCCTCCCACGAAAATTATAATCCAACAGCAGGGATAATGTAGTGAGTGCAGCGTAAATAAAGGAGGTAGTAGGCAAAGAGGAAAAAAGACCATGCATACATCTACATCTAATGCCCACTCACCAATTAAGGACACTTTAGATTTTGGCCTACTAGTAGTACCTAGGTGGCTCCATATATTACCTACCTACTATGTATACTACGTAGAGGTAACACCTACAGGCCTTCTTATACTTAGCCGCAACGCCCACTCCCATTGCAGTAGCAGTACATCCCGCTGCGCAAGCCTTAACCATGTACATACACAGGGGCAGGAGCATTAAGACAATAACATATATTTACCTCCCCAGGTAGTGGGTATATACCGTAAAACCAACCAGTACCGGATTCCGAGCTGTTTGATTGTCCTAGTATCAAATCAGAGGATGCATTGTCTAGCCGGATACAAACACAGGCACGGGAACGGAAATCTTGCCAAGCAACCCGACACTGCGACACGGGAGAACATTAACATCTATGTATTGGCGCACTAATAACAAACATGGAATATAACTAGTAGGAAAAGTTCAGAAATGAGATTAGTGTTTACAATTTACCCAAGTGCGTTTATTATGCCCTGCTTTGAGGCAGCTTAATGCTATTACCTAGGTTAGTAGGTTAGAGAACTTGGTGGCTTTTCTACACCTACCTAGGATATGACATGGTATGCACAAGAGGTTTCTCATCACAGGAGAGTGTCAACTTGTCTAGGTGTGATGGCCGAGTGGTTAAGGCGACAGACTTAAGAATTTCTAAGAGTTCTGTTGACGCAAGTCGCGCGAGTTCGAACCTCGCTCACATCAAGAAAACTTTTGCGCCCTTCCTTTCTTCAATCTTTTTTATTTGCTTTACTAGCATTATGAATAAATATAATATAAGATTTATTATATGCTTTGCTACGGTAGTATGTTATTTACTTAGTAGTATGTACACCTACTACCTACTATGTAATACCTCCGTACAGCTTCTGTAGATGCCTAGCACATGCAGTCTACCCCTCTAGGACCCGTCATTGGATCTCCGTAGCGCGTAACTACTGTAACCCCTCAGCCACCACCACTGTCTTGCCAACCGCATTCTCTACTGGCCGATTAGCTCTGAACTTGTCATAGGCTTCAAGCCACTTTGCATCCATCCCTTCCATGGGGGCCAGATTTACTTTTGTCAGATTGTCGTTAACCCACGTTAAAAGCTCGGTAATGTAACTCTGTTCCCCCAGGAGCAGGGCGTGAAATCTGTCTCCATGCTGGAATCGAGCTTTGCGTTTCCTCTGCTCTGCCTTCATGACAGACTCGTCCGGTAGGTGGACGAGACCAGCGAGAACCTTCGCCATGACCTTAGCTTGAAAATCGAACAGGGAAAAAGTCGAAACTAGCTGTGAAACGCCGATGAATGCCAGCGTCGGGTCGGGGATGTAGAATATATCCTTGTGTAGATTGTGTGTCGTATATCCATCCTCCGTAATCACAATCCTCTCGTCTGCATCTTCCCATGCCATATACGGTTGCTCTAAATCTTCCAGGAACGGGTACGACGTAATGTATCCTGTCGCAATAACGACGTGGTCTATATTCACCAAGGTCGTTCCATCCTCTAGCACAATTCTGCCTGGTATCGTGCCTTCATTCTTCCCGTTGCATATAGCTTTCAACTCGTCAATCTCACCTACAATGAACTCGGCAACCATAGCAACCCTCTCGACCGCTTCTGGAAGGCGACTTGCGGTAAGGTCATACTTCGACTCGCGTCTACTCTGATATACCTTGCCACCAAGAGCATCGACTTCACGAGCAATATCCAAGGACGAAGCTCCCGCGCCTACGAGTAAGACAGTTTTTCCCCTGAAGGGCTCCGGAGTGCGATAGCTCTTAGAGTGAGTGACACGGCCCGGAAAGCAGCGCTTCCATTCTGATAGTCCAGGGATATCCGGCACAAAGGGGACGTGATAATGGCCACTGGCTACCACTATCCCGTCGAAGCTATCATTCCTTCTTGAGACCGAGAACGTGTTCCCTTCCATCCGGAGTGTGCTTGTTTTAACAGTCCACTGCGCACTACCTGCGGGTTTCGTCACACTCTCCACACGTGTATGAAATTGTACATTCTCCGTGACGCGGTGTAGCCTGGCGATATCCTGCAGATATTGAACTACGCGACCTTGATCAACGAACTCTTCCGTTTCCTCTGGCCAAGGAAGAAGACTGCTTTTCATAAGTGACGTCGGGACATTATTCTTCAAGCCGGCATAACATGGCCCGGGAGGACCGTGTAGAAGGGAGGCCTCCTCGGTGCTAAGGCCCTCCTTCTCGAGGTCTTTCCAATCCTGTACAGGGGGGACAATGTTCGGAAATGGCGGGTCTCGGTCAACTCGCTCGTCGTAACACCATACGCCGCCTATTGCTCCCGTTCTCTCGAACACTGTTATCCCAAAGCCCTCTCTGATGAGATGAGCGGCTGATACTACGCCGCTGATGCCTGCGCCGATCACAGCGACGTTTTTGATCGGCTTTCGGTCCGTTTTGACACCCTGAAATCTTTCGGCTAGGCTCATTATGGGCATTTATGCTTGTAGGTATGCAACGTGTACCATAGAGTAGTGAGAAAGCAGTGCATTCGAGTGTAATCAATTTTAACTTATATTCAACTCGTCGCCAGTTATAACTCCCATTTTTCTAGTGTTAGCAATCCCGTCAATTACTAATGTAGTTGCTCTCCAAACCATGATCATTGATCATGCTATATTGCGTGCTCTTGAGCTGTGAGTTCTATTCGACCCCGCGCGCAGCCGCCACGTTCACGAAGATTCCGTTCGTCTATAACGTTGGGAAAATAAGAGCTAATCAATTTCGCCATTTGTTAGTCAACACCTTCCCCGTACCATCAACGAAGGCGAAGCGGGATTTGATGAAATTTCTCGAGTCACTTATTTGGTGTCTAGTTGCGGCATCCGTACTCTATCGGAAGCAAATTGCGCTGTAGAATCAAGGACCGCGACTAGAAAGGATTCGGCTGGGTAAACTGGATTGGAACAGCATACACCTGTACTTCAGTAGTGTAGGGTATACCTGCCTACCTAGGTATCGCAGGGTGCTTGGCATGCAACAATACCACATGGCAGAGAGTGTGTCCCCCGACCACTCGGAAACACACCATACCTAGCCTTGTGCATACATATATATACAACAGGTTTCTGTTGTGCTGCGAGAAACGAACTGTGCCATCGCCCTCTATTGCTTCGAGGTCTAGGATCCAGACCTCCAATATCGCTAGCTTATTAGCTACTACGTACACTCGTGATTACAATACACATGCATAGTAATAAGTATAGTCTAAACAAAACCTCCGGACATGAATTTGATAAGTACCTTCGTATAGTATGAACAACAGGTAGTTATAATCTCGTCTCTCTAGGAATCAATCGGGCTTCTGGGCCCTCAGGAGAGTTTCACTGTGAGGTCCCAGCTAGCTCTGCCTAGTTTCTAGTGTAGCTAACGTCCTCCACCCCGTCGTCGACGTCGAAAGGACTCCTGTATAAGTATTTGTTCTGTTTTCTTCTCATCAAGATGTACATTATAAATCAATAATAGGAGGAAAGCTATGGGCCGAGTAAACGAATATAGATATGCCGTACCATTTTGGCACTACAACACGCACAGACACAGCTTGCTTTAAACAATTCAAGGTCCTTTCGCTTAGGCGCAGACTTTGTGCTCTGTACCCTTCCTTGTCTACCGACCTTGAACCAAATACGCAGCCGCAAAATGGCTCCGAGTCGGTCGAGATCACCGGATCTGGCCGGATAGGAAATAAATAGGTGGGTGCCAACAATCTACTACGCTAATCCGCTACCCCGGTATCTTTAAGCTCAAAGGTGCTAGTGCAGCACTGGCGCCGTCTGTTAAAGATACAACGGCATACAAATATAAGTGATACGGACATACTCTAAAGCTTTTTTTTTTTTTTAACGAGAGCGGAAACTAAGGTCTAAATGTACCCTAAATACCCAAAAAAGGAATTATTCATATGTAGGCATGAGTAACAAAGAAATATCGAATGTATTGCTTGTCTTCTCGGCTAAAAGGCATGGGCTTCCTGATTAAACCGTCTCGCCCAGGGTTTCTCGGCCTACCCCTATTGCGCTAGTTCCGGACTTCAATTCGGACAATTACTCGGGCCTGGTGGGTAGATTGGGGATAACCCCTAAGTCCGTTGCTGCTGAGAATACAACATAGGCAGGATGTGACTGGTGTTCTGGCTGATTTAGTTGGGGAGGTCATATTACTATGTAGCTCTTTAAATACTCATATTTTCCTCATAAATAAGTAGTGTATCCTACTCCAAAGATGTATCGGGTTGTGATCCGCCATAGGCACAGTACTGATAGGCAGACAAATGTAGCCATTCCCAATTATTTGCCTGTGCGTAACTTGCGACGACGCCAGTCTTCTGGCCAGTCATCAGCGGCGGCCGTTTCGGAGAGTTATTTGCATAACATCCTTGCAGCCCAAAACACATCCCGGTACTATCTTCTAACGTAAACAGGATAGGTACCTAATTAACCTATACTAGACGTGGGGTGTAAACAGTTTCTGGGCCACAGAGGTTCCCGAAACGGCGCAGGAGAGAATGCCTACTACTCACTGCCTACACCACAGCTTGTATACAATGATAGTGTAGCTTCAAACCTATATCGTGAGGGCGAGGAGGTAGGTCACGTCAAATCTTCACCAACCCGTGTCAGGGAAATAAAGCAACCTCTCACGCTCCGGCCCCTCGTGTCGGTATCATCTTAGGTACCAAATACTGACTCCCCTACCTCTATTCCCCCCCTCGTCCCTGGGGGATCGACAGTCAGGGCACGGGATTGTAGTCGACCGGCATACAGCACAATCTACTAGTACCAACCATCGCTCCGCGCAGACCTGGCTGCCGTGATCGCGGATCGTGTTAAAGTACCTCCCGTTGTGATACCGACCTTGGCTGCATACACGAAAGCATATAAGAGTCCAAGAGAAATCGTAGCACTCGGGTCACTACACACACGAGCTAGTGGCGGGCTGTTAGGCATAGTACTACAACCTCGCTCACCGCCATTACCGGGACTACATTTTATACCTAGCTATGGTAGGTAGTTATAATTGCCCTCGCTATACTGAACAATCCTTTGTTCCTGCGTTCTAGATCGGCTGGCTGGCTGGGGTGCGGACAAGGTCTTGAAGGCATCACTCGTATCTTATCTGAAGTATCTGAATCACCAGATACCTCACCGCATGACTCCATCTGAACGCTCCGTTCCCTGTGCCGGAGGATCAATCTCCCCGTGCGAGTCGTGTGTTATTCCCTACTTACTAGTAGATCGGCGGCTCGTCGTCTTGTCAGTGTCAAACACCCATCTCAACTGATCCTTTCTGAACTAGACCGAAATGGAATTGCATAGGATGATACCCTAGTAATGGCAGTCCATCCTCAATCTTATCCATATCTTTCATTGACATGACTAGAACGTGGTGATACCATTACTGTATAGAGAAGGCGATAAGCCAAACCTTTTTGGGTAGGTGGTTCGAGGAGTTTACATTTCATTCCCCAGGTAGCTTTCGGCACTTGTGATAAGTCGTCGATCACTTGCTTACCCAGGTATTTCGAACCCCCGGCCCCTTGTTACTGTGTAGGCTGTTTGGGATCTTTGGCAGAGCACGTGGCAACCCGTGGTGGCAATACTTTCAAGTGTCCTAGCCGATCAGATTCTAAAGATGAAAGCGACTTCTTCCCATTGCGGAATCTCGACGACAATCTGAGCAAT